CCCAGCACTCAGGAGGCTGAGACAGGAGGATCACTGCAAGTTCAAGACTACCCTGGGCTACAAAGTGAGCTCATTCATGGCCAGCCTGAACTGCATAGTGAGACCATGTCTCAAAATGACAAACAAATTAAAATACTGAATATTTGCTGAAAATAGTAACTTTTTTTTGTTATTACAATCTAGTAAGACACAAGTAGTGTAAGATGCTATACTGCCAGGCAGTTTTTTTTCATATGTATTTTCTCATATAACCACCACCTATATCAAAATGTAGAGTTTTTTTTTTTCTTTTAACTAGGAATTGAACTCAAGACCTTGCGCTTGTCAGGCAGACACTGTGCTGCTGGGCTATATGACTGGTCTTTTTTCTTAAGTTTTTTGACATAGGTGTCACTCTGTTGTTCGGGCTGGCCTCAAACTTGGAGAGATCCTACGACCCCAGACTCCTCAAGTGCTGGAAATATAGGTATGTAATCACACCCAGCCACAATGTGTGTAGAGTATTTCAAGCACTAAAACACTTCATTCTCATCTTCCTTCACAACTCCTACATACTCCCAAGTACTGTCCTATCACAATAAACTAGTTTTAGCATATTCTGCATTTCAGAATGGAAATAGTGTTCCAATTTCTATTTTTACCATAATATATTCCCAAAGGTACATACTAAGCAGCTGAACCACATTTGCATACAGCTATGTATTTTTTTTTTTAAAGCTATATGTTTACAGGCATAATACAGTGCTATTGGGATATGGATTTTAATTTGTGTTTGCCTGGTGATATAATAATGATAATAATTTATGACATAGCTTAATGAACAATTACACTGTCTGTTTGCAAAATGCTTGTTCTACAAGTCCAGAGCTAGGCTGGGGAGAGTGAGACAGACAAGAGACAGAAATATTAGTCAATTTATTATTTTCAAGCACAGGTGTCCCAAATTTCTCAATGCCTGTGAAATCTATTCCTCCCATCTGTGTCTGTCTGTCCATCCATTTCTCTTATCCATTCACCCCAGGAATTTTTTTTTTTTCAGAACCAGGAATTGAACTCAGGCCTTTGTGCTTACCAGGGAAGCATTTATTCTACTGAGCTATCTCCCTGGCCCCAATCCCAGGAATTGAGCCCTATTCATCCATCCATCCCAGGAACTGAACTCAGGGCCTCAAATTTGCCAGGCGGTTGCTGTGCTGCTGAGTTGCACCCTCAGGTCCTCAACAACATTATATATTTTGTTCATCAAATTCCAGTTCCAAAGCCTAAACACTGACATTCAAGCATGGATATACTTGCATAGATATATACTTTATGTAAATTGTATCCAACAAAAAAAGAATGGAGAAATACTACTTTATGAACACCCAGGGGCCAGTGAGATGGCTCAGTAGAATAAGCGCTTCCCTGGCAAGCTCAAGGGTTTGAGTTCAATCCCCAGTTTCGCAAAAAAAAAAAAAAAAAAAAAAAAAAAGAACACCCAGTCTCACCTCTTTTATCTGCTGTCTTTGCTATCTTTTCATATTTCAATTGAAATATGAACCACAGATGAATCACCACTGTCTCATTATATACAAACTGTACGCTTGCAGCTAGTTACAGGGAGATAATTAGAAGTAACATTACTGCTGGCTTAACACTGAACAAAATGAGAAGTCAGTGGGAAAGCAGAAGTTTGAAAGTTTTGTCTGTTTGGGATGGAGGTGGTGTGTCATTCTGGTATACAAATTAGCTCAACTAGGGCAAGTTCAGTAGCAAGGAGGGGTAAGGCTACCACCCACCATCCAGGCAAGACAGTGGACTCTGGATCAAGGTAATAGCAATAAACCTTCTGATAAGATTTTGGAGGTTTCACCAACAGATTTACAAACTGTGTACAAGATACAAGGCAAAGTAAAAACAAGATGATGATGACATTTTGGGCAGCAGTAACTTCAAGGATGTAGCAGCCAATAACTTGGATGTAGAAAGCTATGTAAAGAACCCAAGTTTAGATTAAGGGAGCAGCAACTCAGTTTCTGCCATGCTTGAGATGTTCATTAAGGAACTCAAATACAGATGCTAAAAGGCAGAAGGACAGGAGTCTAGAAACTCAGGAAGATGAATCAGTGAGCTGTCAGTATATAAGGAAATTATATAATCAGAAGAGCTCACCAAGGGTATAGATGAAAAGAAACAGAAGGTGAAGACTTATCGCTCCAGCTTTCTAATGTAGGAAATCCCATGATACAAGGAAAGAACTAATTAGGAAGTCGGGGAACAGCCAAGAACAGAACTGATGTCCTAGTAATTAAGTGGAAAGAGAGTATCTCTACTATGAAAAACATGTGTTCAACGCACTGATTCACAGATTTATAAAGGTTCTTGGAAATAACTTTATTGAAAAAACAGTGAGGCACCAGGGAATGCTGGTACCTGCCAGTAATAAGCCAGCTTGGATTACACAGGGAGACAGTATCTTAAAAAATAAAAAATGGGAGGCCTGCCCCTTAGCTCAGCTCTTTAAGTGGCTGCTTCAACAAAGCAGTCAGGCTCAGGTTGCTGTGGTTCATCCCCACAACTCAAGCTAGCCAAACCTGCCCTGAAGGCATTCGGAGCAAAATAAATAAATAAATAAATAAATAAATAAATAAATAAATAAATAAATAAATTATGAGGTCTACTATTTCAATATATTGGTAAAAAGTCATAGTCTTCTATGATAACCATACAAGACAAGTTTATTCTATACAGGATTTACTCAGATATGATAGAATGGAAAAAGAAACCAAAAAACTCTATTCATTTAGTCACTAAATAAACCAATTTATCTGCACACTAAATACTGTCATTCCTGTTTCATCGTTTTCAGATGTCATTCTTTTCCTCTAAGAAATCAAACAGGCCAGACATGGCGGCACACACCTGTAATCCCACCACTCAGAGGAGGCTGAGGCAGGAAAATTGCTACAAGTCTGAGACTAGCCTGGGCTACAAAGTAAGCTGAAGGCCAGCCTGAACTGCATAGCAAGACCCTGTCTCAAAAAGTCAAAAGGAGAGAAAGAAAAAGGGAAGAGAAGGAGGAGGAAGAGGAAAGAAGGAGAGACCAGAGACAGAGACACAGACAGACAGACACAGAGAGAGATCAAACATATGAGCCAGGCATGGAGGCACACACTTACAATTCCAGGACTCAAGAAGCTCAAGAAGGATTGCTGTGAGCTTGTGGCCAGCCTGGGATACATAGTGAGTTCAAGGTCAGCCTGGACTATCTAGAGAGACCCTGTCTAAAAAAACAAAACCAAAAACAAGAAATCCCATACCACAGGGCATGGTAATGCAGGTCTACAGGCTCAACACTTTGGGATGCTAAGAAAAGACAAAAAATTCAACTCTAGCCTAGAAAACTTAGTGAATACCTTGTCTTAAAAATTAAAGACGAGGGGCCGGGGAGATAACTCAGTAGAGTAAGTGCTTGTCTGGCAAGCGCAAGGGCCTGAGTTCATTCCCTGGTTCTGCAAATAAATAAATAAATAAACTAAATAATTTTTAAAAAAATTAAAGAGGAGGGCTGGGGAGATAGCTCAGTAGAATAAAGTACCACAAAAATTAAAGAGGGGAAACAATAATTTAAAAGGGGCTACAACTCAGTACAAAAGTCTTCAGTTCAATTCCCAGTAGTAGGCAGTAACTCTGGGGGGGGTGGAGGTATGAGCTTGTGGTGGGTGATGGGAGATTCTAGTACCAGTATGCAATTTTCCGATTAGATAGCCAAGATAGGTCCATTAAATAGTCTTGGCTCTATGTATCTTTACAAAATGTTACTCTATTTTCTTTTGTTGTTCTTTTACAAAAAGAGTACAATTGGAGGAAACAGTCTTAATATATATTCACTTAATCTTCTAATTTTGTCTTCTGCTGTTTTTTTTTTTAAACCTCACTTAGTTTTCAGATCTATAAAACCATGAGCTAAATAAAAGCTACCTTCTTGTCTATACAAAACAGCAAAAGAACAGAGACCAGCTAATTTGGACATGGGCATACAGCTTTACAAATGGAGAAGGGCCGGGGAGATTGCTCAGTTGAGTAAGTGCTTGCCTGGCCAAGTATAAGGGCCTGAGTTCAATGCCCGGTTCCACAAAAAAACAAAAACAAAACAACAACAAAAAAACCAAAGAGCTAGGATCTGAACCTGATAGCTACCAAGTAGAACCTCTTAAAGCACTACACTTCTAAAATCAAATCAGACAAGTAAAAGTTCTATACAAATGAAGATATGTATCACCTACACAAATACTCCTTGGCATGTGAGAACCTTAGCTGTGCTCAAGGAATAATTAAAAACCTTCTAAGTTTGATGTTTACATTCCATCTAAGTGGAAGATGATCACTTCAATACTTACTTTTTACTTTATGCTTATGAGTGTCTTCCTGAGACATCAAATTTATAAAAAAAAAAAAAAAACCCACACAAAAACACAAATAAAATCTAAGACTTCCTTAAAATGTAAAGCTAGCATCTTAAGATTACCTAGTACATGCCTACTAAACATATATATAGATATTCATCTATCTATCTATCTATCTATCTATCTATCTATCTATCTATCTGTATTTTTTTTTTGAGGGGGGTGTCAGGGTCTCAACATGTAGTCCAGGCTGGCCTTGACCTCCATTGTATAGCTGTCCTCATACTCCCAGCGATCCTCCTGCCTCAGCCTCCCAAGTGCTGGGATTATACACATCCACAACCATGCCTGGCTTTAAGTACAGATTGTGAACTCAATTATAACACTTTTTTTTTGTGGAACCAGGGATCGAATTCAGGCCCTTGCACTTGCCAGGCAAGTGCTTATTCCACTGAGCCATCTCCCTGGCCCTATAACACATTTTAAATTATGTACTTATAAGACACTAACCAAACAAAATATGTTTTCATGTTCTGTGAAATTTATACATCTAACATTCTCATAATCCTGGTATTCCTACAAGCAAAAAGAGAAAGTGATTTCAAAATCTCTTACCATTGATCTTTCAGGATATCCAAACAAATAGCCCCTGTGACGGAACTAATATTAGGATGCCATATTTTAGTGATAAACCGGACCTAGAATATAAAGCACACTTGAGTTCTTAAGTAACAAAAATAAAACAAAGTTCTTAAATAAAACTACAAGAAAACAAAATCCTCAGATGATCAAGGTGAAGAGCGTGTGAAGCAAATCATTCAGTAAGTCATATGTTATTACTAATATAAATTGTTAAACCTTTTTAAAAATTACCTTAAGATACATCAAACAATTAATGTTTTCAACTTACCTAGCATGTCACATGCTATGAGAAAAATTAAAGACTAAACTGCATTTGGGTAAAGAGTACACTGAATCAAACTATAGTCAGTGGCACCTTTCTTAGTGGGAACCAGCACACAGAATAGGTTCAAAGGAAAAAAGAAAAATTAATGCATAGAAAGACAAAAAACAAGTAGCCACAATAATCTTAAAGTGTGTGCACAATTTTTTCTTAAATCTTTTTTCTCGGATACCCCAACAAATATTTGAAGACCTATTATTGTATGTCAGGCACTGAGCAGACACTGAAGCTTTGAATTTTAAGAAACTTAGCAAAAACCAAATTGCTAGTTAGCATTATAGAAAATGCAAACTCACACAAACTGATACTAGATTGTAAAGTTCATAATCACCTATTTGTGTAGTGTAGATTAAAAACAAGTAAAACAGCTAACTCTATGAGACCACTATGAAACCTAGTCTACATGTTCTACTCATGAACTTATAAGGACTACTGTTGTTATTACCAAATGGGTACCTTAGTTCTACGCATGATTTTGGCAAACCACACTGGAAAAAAATCATCCAGGGGGCCAGGGAGATAGCTCAGATAAGCACTGACCTGGCAAACACACACAGGGTCCTGAGTTCAATCCTCAGTAGTGAAAAAGAGAGAGAGAGAGAGAGAGAGAGAGAGAGAGAGAGAGAGAGAGAGAGAGAGAGAAAAGAAAAACAAAAAAAGAAAAGAAAAAACAAAAAACAAATCCAACTCACTGGTTAAGTTCAATGTAGAACCAAATTTCCTTTTTTTTTTTTTTTCCTTGCGGAACTGGTGATTGAACTCAGGTCTTGCACTTGCCAAGGAAGCGCTTATTCCACTGAGCCATCTCCCCAGTCCCCCAAATTTCCTTAATGGGGAAATTTGGTTTGGCTCTGGTCTAATACAGTTTGCAACCAGAAGAAGCACATGTGTGAAGAAGTACATGAACTGAAGTCCCACTATAGTGACCACATGAGCTCTGTGACCAGAGTTATATTTTACTTTATTATTTTTTACTTTATTATTTTTACATAGACTGGGTGTTGCAAAATAGACGAGGCTAAGCCTAAATTTGAGCTCCTTTTGCCTTACTGTCTCAAGGAACTGAGATTATAGGTGTGCATTACCATTTCCAACTCCTTGTGATTTGTTTATACTATTAACTCTATGTTCTTTCTTCCTACTACTATTACTCAGTAACTCATTTAACATGGAAAAGCACATTAAGCTAACAACAACTTTAAAATACCTAAAACTAATAGACACTTTTCGCTTCTTCATTTAAGCCATGTTTGATCCTTTTTCACTCATAAAATTAAAAAACTTATCATTGATCCCTTCTATTCACAGGACCCTCTCAAAGATTGACTCTTCACCTTTGTTACTAATCTTCATTATTGTCTTCTACTTTGTTCCTGCCAATCTACTCTCCACATTAAAACTAGGTTGACTTTTAGAACAGATGTGATCTGTGTTACTATTCTGTTTATGTCTTTTTATGACCTCTCAATTCCTTCTATGTAAGCCAAGCCCTGCCCATTTCAGCAATACCAGGGATTGAACGCAAGCTTCACATAAACTGTGCATGTGCTGTTATATCACCACCCCTCCTTTTGTTTTATACAATCTTTGAGATGGGATTATGTAAACTGCCAAGGTTGGTTTTTCCTCTCTCCTCTCCCCTTTCTCTCCCTCCCTCCGTTTTACTCTTTTTGATACAGGGTCTCAATATGAAGTTCAGGCTGGCCTTGAAATGATCCTCCTGCCTCAGATTGCAGAGTACTGGCATTACAGGTGTGCCCCAAAACAATCCTCCTGCCTTGGCTTCTGAATGGTTAAGATTACAGGTATGAACCACTGTTGCCTGCTTTGGCCTACATTCTTAAGTAGGCCTATACCTTCTCCACCCTATATTATACTGTCCAAGTCATATTCAAATTTATTTTTTGCCTCTGGCCTTCAAGGATGTTTATTTTCTCAATAATGTATTTTGGACCTTTATTCCTCTGCCCTTGGCTAATTCCTACCTAACCTCCAAGCTTCATCTTTTCTATCACTTATTACTAACCTATTCCCACAACACCCTACTCTTTGATTTATCATAATACCACACTTCTACAATCTCTGCCTTGCCAAGTGTGTTAGTACAGAGCAGTAATCTCAGCACTCAGAAAGCTGTAAGGCAGGAATGCATGAGTTCAAGGTCAGCCTGAACTACAGAGCAAGATCTTGGCTTTAAAAATAAATAAATAAATAATAGGCCTCCCTATAAAAGCCTAATTTTTTTTTTTTTTAATTTTTTAGGGACGGGGCTAAAGGGTGTTTAGAGTCTTATTACTAGATCAGATCCACCTGTTTACAGATTCCCAAGAGCTGGATTTACAGGTACACACCACCACACCCAGTCTCAATTGTGGTCTCAGTGTGCCCCAGGGGTAGGGCCAGCACAGCAGGCCCAAGGAATCCTAGGTTCCTGCACTTGCTTGCAGGTGCTTTAATTCATTGAGCTATTTGATCCAAACCCTAAAAAAAGGTGTGTGTGTACATGGAGGGAAATGGTATTTCTTCCCAATTTGTGTAGATTTCTACAAAAAAAGGCACTCCATCCAGTCAGGCTTACCAGGGCACCTCCAGAATCTTAGCACTTGCCTTACACAGAACTATGCACTTAATACTGTGGCAAACCTGTTACTAGAGAGATAATGTACCTCTCAAAAATAGTCCAGGTCAAATAAGATACACAGTAGCATAGGGCTTAGGTATAGCAAACCTTTATTACAGATATAACCACAAAATTCACGTCTTAATTACCATTCACTGAGTTCACAAATACAAATTAACTATTGCTGTTAACTTCGGTAACTCAAATATCACAGCATTCTGTAACCTTAAGTGGAATATTTTCAACAATACTGGAAAGTAAAATTTTAGGGGTTGGGGAGATAGCTCAGTAGAATAAGCGCCCGCCTGGCAAGTGCAGGGTCCTGAGTTCAATCCCCAGTACTGCAAAAAAAAAAAAAGAAAGAAAAAGAAAATTTTAAATTACTACTAAAGATGCCACGAAGTTTATCTTAGGCAAACAGATCAATCTGAAGATTTGTAAACTGTTAGCTCGCCTCCATGCCTTTGGTGCTGGGCATCCATCAAACCCAGAGTCTGAGGGATAGTTGGCAAACACTCTACCATGAGCCATACTCTCAACTCTGTACTGTATCTTCTTAAGAAGAGTGTTCCATGTGTATGGTTCTCTATACATACATCTGCAGAACCAAAGACATATCAGAATGGAAGAGATTATTAAACTAATTCTTATACTATGCAATCATCTACAGAATAAATGAATTTAGAGAGGACCCAGTAAACAAATTCATGCTCATGAAATGAGAATGTAGCTCAGTTATTGAATTCTTGCCTGTAATGTGTATGGTCCTGAGTTCAACCCCCAGTGAGATAGGAAGGCAGGAAGTGACAGAGGGCAGGAGGGTCCTCCAAGAGGACATCCCACTATTAGAAGTGACAAAAGTAACTATTTTATGAGCAGTTTTCATGTGACCCTAAGTGTATCCTCTATTTCTTTCTGCTTTATCATCAACTCTCTCTTTTGTAGGCTTTTAACTCCTTTGTTTGGTTTTCTCTAGAATTAACATTAGTACTCATATTCACAGAATACTCCTATTATTCTCTACCCAACTCATATTCATTGTAATCCGCTACTTCATCCAAGTCCTACCATTCTTGACCCAAATTAACAAAAATAGAGAAAAAGTACTTGACAGAGATGAAGTGTAAGAGCAAGTAACAATACCATAATAAGCATCATGACCTATGTGAATCCTATTTGGCCCAGATTACAGAGCAGATAAAGGCTGGTTTACTAGAACACTTACTGATAATAATTCAAGTCTCCTTGTTGTCATATGCAGAACAGTGGCTTATCTAAGAACTCTAAAATATTCACTACCTGAAAGGAATGCACAGACTACCCAAATACCTGAATAGTATTATATATATATTGATTAAGCACCAAATGTTACCAGACTGGAATAAAACTAATAATGCCTAATTAACTACAATGGCAAGCTACCACTGACACTCTTAACTTTTCCTACAGACTAGATCCTATAATTCCACATACACCTTAGTTCAAGAAACACTGTAGCTTTTACTTTAGGTAGATATGACTTACTATTTCCATAAGGGACTTCTAATCCCAAGAGTAAAACTCAAAAAAAAAAAAAGTGTAACTCAGCACAGACTGGCAATGCAGGCCTACAACACTAGCACTCTGGGAGACTGAGGCAGGAGGATCTGAAGTTCATGCCCAGCCTAACCCACTTAGGAACTTGGAGAGTTCAAAACAAAAAGCAGGGACTGGGGATGTAGTTCAGTGTAAGGGCTTTGGGTTCAATTTAGAATGCCCCTTTTACCCAAAAAAAAGATTGTGTCTCAAGAATATTACATATAAAACCAAGCAGTGGGTGGGGATGGTTTGAAACCAGAGTATCTCCCATGCTAGATAAGCACTCTACCACGGAACTATACTCCTAGACATTTTAAACTTTATTCTGAGATGGAGGTCTTGCTAAATTGTCTGGGCTAGCCTCCAACTTGCAATATTATTTTATCCTCCCAAATGCTGGGATTATAGGCATGTGCTCCCCTACCCAATTTTGTTTGCTTGAATTCCTTCCTTCCTTCTTTTGTACCTGGAACTAAACTCTCAGGACTTTGCACTTGTCAGGCAGGCAACCCAACTTACTAAACTAGTTTGTTTAT